CCCCTCCCCGAAATGAAATTATACCGGCAAAATAAAGCTTAACTGGTCAGGTGCCTGTGAAATATTTGAAGTATATTTAATACATTTAATTCCGTGTATTTTACTCGTTCGCTGGAGGGTGTGATCTCTCAATCTTGCCAGCCGGTTCTCGTAAAATACTTTCCCTTAGATTACGCACTTTATCGAAATGTTCCATAAAAAAGCCAGAAATCTGTCAGTGATGTCAGTGAGTACTCTCTAAGCCTGGCGAAAAAAGTTGCAAGTTCTAACTTTTAACGGCAAATGTGAATATGTTACCTTTAGCTGGCTGAACACTATTAATAGTAACAAATTCTGAACGCACTGAGGTTTGTTTTTGGATCATTCTCATATCCACGAGAAAGTTAGAAATAAAAAAAAAGAAGTGACGAGAACTGATGCGGAAATTCCATGTAATTAAAATGGCGGAGATACATTCTTGAGTGTTTCCTATTCGTCTGGAGACAACTTCCCGCTGGCGAGTTTTGACGCATACCAACGACAGACGGCTATTGGCGGTAGGAGCCGGTTAACGGACGCAAATTCCAAATTTCAACTTTGAAAACTTTCTGTTGATTCTAATTGAAACTGTATAATGGTTATGGCGTGTGCTCAGCCCTGGAAAGAATTTGCTTGTCCTGATGTTACAGTTTAACATTAATGTTGTTCAAACGGCTCACCTTAAGATCGACTCTTTCTCGCAGACGATCCTAAACAGCCGACTCTGATAAACCAAGTCCACTAAAGTACACTGGTGGCAAAATGAACAATCCGATATTGCGTGACATCCCAAAAAACGGCTGCGGAGTAGACTAGACATTCCATAATATGTTGTTATTTCACCTATGTTCTTCCTTCCGGTGACCTCAGTATTAATAGGTTTATAAAATCAGTCTAACGCAACGGAAACTTGTTGCTGATAATTTAAGAAGTTGACTGAAACGTCAAATTATACCTGTACTGTAACAGTTGAGACCAAGGTACGCTTTCACTTATAACCGGCTGTTAACGCGCGCTGTTTAAACGAAAATGAAAACCAAGTAGTATAGCGGTTCAATGGTTATGACTGCAGAAGTTTAGCTATAAAAAGAGCTAAAACCAGCTATAGATCATTTTCACGTCACGTCATCTCTTTCTATAATCCAAAACTGAAGAGCCCACTCCCCCCCCCCCCGCCCCACCGATAGATTGATATCTGTTTGCAATTTTACAGCTCAGTAGCGTGCTTCGTTTGGAAACCAGCTGAGCATTTTGAATTTCAGGGTTACGGAGGTGCTTAACACAAGGCTACGATCGAGTTTGTTGAAAAATATATACTTATCTCATGATTTTGAGCCTTTTTAGAAGTTAGAGCATTCGGAAATGTGCTTATGAAAATGTTCGTTTGTTCAGTACCTATAATCAGTCGTCTAGATAGCCAAAGTATATTAGTTCCAAGGCCGGGTTCTTTGGAACAACCCGGTTAACGCTAACCCAGGATTAAAAGTTAAACGAAGTATTAATTTTTGTCGTATAGAAATGTTTTTCACCGCTTTACTTTATATTTTGTGTAGTTTGTGATTATTCAAACTCAAAACTGTCGGTCAAACAATATAAACAGAAAACTTCACTAAAAAGTTCCAAAAATGAAATCGAAATTCTCGCTAATCCTGGGTTAGCGTAATCGAGATTTGAACAACCCAGCCCTGATGTTTACATCATTTTCCGGCCGCCATATTGGTGTACCACGGATGTACACCAACATGGCGCTCTCATACTGGGCTCTGTAAATTTCTGCGAAGCATTTCGACGAATATCTGAAGTTTGGGGAAACGCATAGGCCTAAGACTTGGAGAAGTGTCTTATTTAGTTATCTTCTATAACATCACAATTTCTTAGCTTTTTCCACTGGATGGTTTTCGATTTATTTTTTTATTGCCTGACAGTGAAAACGATCTGCAGTGAAACCTGTATTAAGCGGACACCCTCTATTAGTGGACACCGGCTTGAGTCCCAAATTTTCCTCCCATATTCACTGTACAATAAACCTGCATTCAGTGGACACCTCTGTTAAGCGAACGCGGACACCAACATTAAGCCATTTTGTTACACAAAACCTGCCATAAGCGGACACTTTAAGGCTTTTTACTTCTAAAAGCTCAGTTCAGACACCTTTAACATTAATTGTTCAGCGATGTCGTTTTAAGCTAAGTATATTAATCCAGATTGATGCATTGACTGTCTGGTGGACATTGTGCCATGAGCTGTCTTTCATCTTACACTGTGTTACAAAAGGGTTCATAATTAACTATTATTGCTGAACCTGTTTAGAATGGACACCCTGTGTTACGGGGCACTAGTAAGGGTCCCAAGGGTGTCCGCTTAATACAGGTTTCATTGTATATTATGTTTTTCTGAACAAACTTTCACATTTGCAGACTTGTAAAGCAACGTTACTCCCCATCAGCTGAATTTATCCGAACCCAATTGATGAACTAACTACGTTCTTGTTTCTGAATCATAGAGTGGTTGCGCATGAACCGATGTGTAGAGATTATAAGAACTGACGTTTCGAGCGTTAGCCCTTCGTCACAGCGAATCGAGGAATCGTGGACTGTGTATGGTTTATACACAGAATATGGAGCTAGGCTATTGGTGGTAACATGGTAACATGAAAAACAAGTATAAATTAACTGAATGAAAAGCGCTCGTTGATACCGTTGAGTGACGATTTGAAAGATAAACTTTTGCTCTAGATTTTTACGGCTTTCCGTAGTACCTTGATATAGGGAAAGGCCGGAGATCGTGAAAAACGAAAAACGAAAAAACCGTAGCCATTTCCTAGACGACTTCCAGCCACTGCACTCTAATGGCTGATAGTGTTCAATGGCTCAGCCAATCAGATTACAGCATTTGCACTAGTATACCAGTAGAATTCTACTAATCTGTGATAGATAGTGAGTAGCGTAGCAGCATGCCCTTCCTAACAAAATAACGGCCGCTTCTTGGCCTTTTCGAAGGGTCTGTGAAGAGGATTTCGGTAAAGTTTTGAACGACTTGTAGATTTATACGAAAACAATTAGATTATTCACTCTCAATTTCTATGCGTGACAGTTGACTCGGGCTGCGCCCTCGTCAACTATCACGCGATAGAAATTGAGAGTGAATAATCTAATTAAGAAACAGAAACACGATTTTTAACCAATCAGCGCGCGTATCTTCTTATTAGGGTTGTTTTCTAAATAGGTGTTGTTGGAGTTCATGAGCGGGAAGGAAACACAGAAATCCCACGCATTACTTGGTAGCCTCCCCTCCAAACCACAAAATTATGAACGCTTCACTCGTTCCCTAACACTGTTTACTGTTTCTGCACAGGTAGTATATCGTCTGTGCGTTCCGTCTTCAGCTCTCAGAGAGACAGCATTTGGTCGAAAAGATTGCCTTTAGGTAAGTAGTATTCAAATTCAATGTGATGTTGTCGTTATTTTGTGTGTAGCGCCCGGAAAACGTGTGTTTACGTTCGCCATGCGACATTCCTTTCGTAGTTTGGAGCACGAATGATTTTTTTTTTCTGTCATTTGTAATTACGCATATTTCACTGGAGTAGCTTGTTGAAGGAGTAATTGTTTTGCTGTACTCTGCACAGCCAGGTAAAACTTGAAAAAAGCTAAAAAACAGAGCATACTATCTCCTAATTTATCTGCGTTTTATCAGGGAGAGTTAATCAGAGTACTTGTTGGACGTTGGCACGATCTCTCATCGTACACGACAACTTTACAACCGCCGGAAAGCTGTCTTATCAAAATCAAAATAACGAGGGGCTTTCTTGTTTTAGCTAATAATTTTAACCTTAAGATAGAGGTAACGCCTTTCGTGGTATTATTGTCGTGATCAACTGTTTGTAAATAGTGAATTCCTGTCGAAGATATTAGCTTGGAGAAGGTGACAGAATTCGTTCATATCTCCATATCGTTTACGCCCATTAGTTAATGCGTCTTAAAATCAAAGCGCGCAGATTTCTTTGTCCTTTGTATGAGCTGCACTCCCATCGGATTCATCGCTTATGCGACCTTACATTTTTCTCTGGCTCTGTTTGCAAAGGTAACTTAGTAACTCCCTAATTGGATTACCTTTAGTTTACATGTGTCACAATTAATTTTCAAGTGTAGATGAGTGTGTTTGTGGAGATTTTTGATCAGGATAACATTTCTTCTGGTGTGTTCTACTCAAGCTGTGATTGTGACTGTAAGCTTGATATGTGAACCCCCTGTACATATAGATTTAGGGGTATCATTTCAGTTTTATAATTTGAAAAATGCTTGCTGTCTATTCAATCATGGGTATCTTGTAAACAGCTGAGAATCAATTTTTTACACCAGCTCATTTGTCAAAAACAGAGTTGTTGCAAGAGAATAGAATCTTGTGGCCTATTTGATTCTGTATCTGTTGCTTCCAAGACTGAGGTGTCTTACATGAATATTTTAGAGCTTACAGTTTATACTCAGTATATTAGATTTCAATTATTGCTGAAAGCATTGTTTTGACCAATTAGTAAACTACTACATTGATGGTCATTAGTTATATTATATAGAGTCAGTGATGAACATATTGCTCATCCAGTGTTTGGCTTTTATCTTCTGGCCCAGTAGCTATAGTTTGAGACAAGCAAAATTGAAGTAGGACAGGGAAATACTTAATGTACATTCAGTACATAGCAACAAAATCTATCTTTTACCTGTAGTTGTATCCTACTTGTACTGACAGTGGCTTAGAATAGACACTAATTAATACATATCATTACTTCAGACAGTGTTTCTGCTCCATTATGCACATAGCTCAGCATTACTTTTGGTGAAGTCTAAATATCATATGGGTCAGGTGCTCTGAATCCTTTTTAAATAGGGAGTTTATTTAAGTGGATCTTGCAGCTTAATAGTTAGCGAGTTGCACTTCAGTTACAGGAATCTCGGTTATAGCCCCAGCTGGTCTCATTGTGTTGTGTTCTTGAGCAATAGACACTAACTCTCATAGTATCTCTCTCCACTCAGATTTGCAAGTATGTATCACCAAATGCCAGTCAAGGATAAAATGATAAAGCCTTGAAGGGGCTAGGGGGTGTGGGAAGGAGATGGGTTAACTGTGTGACCTGCGATGGACTAACTGCCCATCCTAGTTGCTTTACCTCATAGAAACCACATAAAGTTACATGTAAGTGCCCTCAGTTTTAGGGCACCAATCTCATGAAAAGTTACCATGTCAAATTATATTATTAATATATTGCACTGATTGTAATTCCTTAGTGGCTGCTGATATAGACTAAAACATGTGTGTCTTTATATAATTTATGATAGGTAGGGAAAAATAAACTAAAGACTGATCAAAATGCCAGCACAAGCAACAGATGAAGTAGACTGGAATAACCAGGACCCTGCGACTGTTATTTACAAGATTGGTATATATGGCTGGAGAAAGCGATGCATCTACTTCCTTATTTTACTCATCATGGTTGTCACCATCGTCAATCTTTCTCTCGTTATTTGGGTCATGAGAGTTATGGACTTTAATTTGGTAAATATCATTGATATTCCATCATTGAAGTGTTAATAGTACAATGCTAAATGAGGGTTGCAACTTCTGGGACTTCTCAGTGATCTTTTTTGTAAAACAAGATTGCTTAGTTTAATTAGAATTGAACTTGGTTTTAAGGAAATAGTTTTAATTTGTGTTGTCTAGGACACATAAATGATTATTTAGCTATAAACTTTAAAGGGGCTCAGTCACGGTATTTTGAGTTATTTTGGCCACATAAAAATTACCTTTCAATGGTAGGAAATCAGAAAATAACAGTTTAATAAGATAGAAAAACACCAAAGACATAATGATAAACCATAAAGGAACAAGGATGGCTTAGGATGGAGAAGATTAACATGGATTAGAAACGACGAATTTGAAAAATTACAATTTGTGGCTTTACTAAACATTGCTGTTGTATAATTTCCAGGATGGTATGGGTAAACTTAGAATAACTGATCAAGGTCTGAAGCACTATGGTGAAGCAGAATTTGTTGATGAATTACGTGCAAACTTGATACGACCAAGCCAGGTGAGGTATTTGTACATGTATTATTGTGTAGGCCTGTACTTATGTTACCACTTAGTCCATATTGGGGCAGAAGTATTGCTTGGCCGTCATTTTCAGCTCATTCTATGGACATGCGAAAAGAATGACACCAATATGTCTCCAATTCATGTAACATATCAAACATGAAAGACTGTGTTTGACCACACTTCCAAACACTGAGAAGAGAGTTGAAAATAGCGGAGTATTTTTGACGAACTTTGGGGTGTTTTTAAAATGTGGTCAAACACTGTCTTGAGTGTTTGATATATCTTCTCAATCAAAACTGGATGTAAGGAGAAAATGAAGAAATAAAATTGTAAAACTATATGCTAATTAAGATCAGATATCCAAACACTGTCATGGTCACAATTTCCTTTGTTTAAACTTGATAAATTATTAATGAGTTTGAGAAGGATGGAGCAAACTAGTCCGACAAAGTTTTAATTCATTACATTGACCCTTTTAGACCTTTGCTGATAAATTAGGCATGCATTGTCAGCAAATGCAGGAGCTAAAGTTAACTATGCTTGCATTTCTCTGGCCCTAAAAGGTTGGCCAAAATTCCACCGTTTTTCAGGTCAGTTTTCTGTACAATATTGGTGTAAAATTAGTTACCACAATATTTGCCTGATTCTTCATCTTTGTTTTCAGAACTCTGAACTTAAGCTTCAGTCCAAAGCAAATGTCACAGTTAATGCACGCTCTTCTGGAGGAAACATTACTGGTCAGCTCTTCGTAGGAAATGATGAAGTTGTGGCCAGAAATCAGAAGTTCTCTATAAAGACTGACCAAGGAAAAAACATCTTGTATGCTGACAAGGATAAAATCCACTTTGCAGCTGACAAGTTGGAGTTTTTAAGTAATTATTATTAATTGTTTTTTACTTCTTGGTCCTGATCCAGTTTTTCAATGGATGAATTATGCTATCCATGGAATAAATCACTATACAGTGGATAGGCTAAGCATAGTTTGTTTTTTCAAGGCTTATCCATGAAATAGAAATTAAAATTTTATCCGGTGGATAACTTAAGAACAACCAGGTCCTCGAGTTAGCAAATTAAATTTGCATAAATTCAATTCATTGATAAGTGCGGCCTCAGATATTTGGCAGTTGTTGACTGAGCTGGAAGGAGATATGGGGGTTAAAAATACAGTTGAACCTCTGGTTACAACCACCTCTCGTAGGCGACCACTTCTCCTTGGCGACCAGTTAAATTCTAAAATACAAAAAGTTTCCAAATCAAATTGCTATTTTTGGAACCTCTTGTAAGTGACCGCAACCACTTTTAGAACTAAAAGTTTGAAATTTTCTTTTGTTTTTAACCTCCTGTAAGTGATCACTTGACAGATAATAGAATGGAAAGTGAATAATAAGGTGTTGTAACATTATTGCATTCCTGGGTAGTACAAGAGATGGAAATCTCCCAATTGATAGTACCCAGTTTTTTCTTGGAATTGACTTTTCACATGAATAAAACATTTAAAACATGGGGTAAGTCTCTGCATTACCATATGCTAATGAGGCAAAATTTTACCCCAATATGGTCTAAGCTCTTGTAAGCGACCACCTCCCGTAAGCGCTTATGGGAGGTTCAACTGTATGTGACAAAGAGTACAGGTTGGCTGGGAGAGAATTAAAGTGATTGACTAGAAATTTATCAGCTAGCTGTTACTGTTTTCAATAGATTTATCATCAAATTCTCAGAAGTACATGATGAACCATTGTATGCCTTTATCTAAGAAGAATTTGTTTTTCAATCATATGTTTGCATTGTTATTACAGCAGTGAGCCCTGTGTAATGTACAGTGTACATTTGTTATTTCAGGTCCCAATGGAGCTCATTTCAGTGGTTCAGTTGAGACAGAGAGCCTGAGGGCCCCTCCCAAGAAGGACCTGAGATTGGCATCCCTGACCAGGTCCCTTCACATGGATGCTCCAGATGGCATGTCCTTCAAATCTGCTGCTGGAAGTGTGGGCATTACAAGTCTAAAGGATGTGACAATCAAGTCCATGAATGGAAAGGTATGAAGATTTCATAGCTTGTAAGGATTATAGCAGTCCAATTGCTAAATACATAACTTAGAGTACATTCTGTTGATTATAGGAAATGTGCCATTAACATTTTGCTTCCTCTGACAAAGGTTTGATGCTTGAAATGACAGCTTTACTATCTCAGTGTGGCAGTTAATTTACTTTTATCAAATTCTGGTTATAATAAATAGTGTTTTGCTTGCTGGTGCAGCCCAACAATTTTTACAGAAACTAATACCTTAGTTTGTAGTTTATTTTTATGACCTCATGATGCAGAAATTCACAGATGTTTTATTATGTACTTATCACTTAAATGTAAAGAAAATGTAAGTAATTCATCTTTGAAGTAAAGAAAATAAGAATATTGTCTTTGGGAATTCCTGTATTGTTTTATAACATTTCACTGCTGATTAATGTTTTCAGGTCTTGCTGGATGCACAGCAAATTTCATTTAAAAATCTGCAAAGAGGTACTTCAAACAGTGGATCTCCTGACGGAAATGTCCGGGAAGTCTGTATTTGTGAAAATACTGGAGAATTGTTTCTGGCACCAGCTAACAGTCATTGCCAAGTCAGCAAGATTTGTGGTTGATGTGAACCAGCATGAATTTTGAAAGCTCTAAAGTCTTAACCTATTATTATTATTGGAATAGACCCAACAGTAATGGGTTGAATTTTTAGTAAGGGCTACTTGTAAAACTTGACAGGAATCTGTTAGGAAGGGTTGGCAGTCATTGATGGCAAGTAGAATTGCTGTGGACTATACAGACAAACTTGATCACTTTTTCAAGTTTGGCTTTGAATCCTGTTGCGACAAAAATTTTTTAGAGATTGTGGGCTCTGTTGTTTGTATTTCTTAAATTGAGGCATGCTCCTTTCCTAGTAAATAATTATTTTTAACAAAATGCTTGCAGATGATAGCGCAATATAATTTTCACATCAAATATTTGGTAGTTTTACCCTGAATGGGATGAATTTCTGATAACATTTCTCAGCTTATTTTATAACTTATTTAGAAGATATATGTAGCCATTTTGGTACCACATTTTTGTACAGTACTGTAGGGTTATAAAAAATCTTCACTTTTAATTAGTGAAAAAGAAAGTCATTATTTAAGTACAGTAGAAGAGGAGTTTTATATTCTCAAGACAGAGGTTAGTTGGCAGGTTTGGTTTATTAAATGGGGCTACTTTTGGAAAGTTTTCATGCCACCTGTAGATGAAATATTTCTTTATTTGGCTTGATGGATTTATTGCAATGTAATGATATGTTGTAATTCAGTTTAATTCTTTGCCTAAATTTTTATCACTTGTTTTTATACTTTGTGTTTTGGGTTTTGGTTSAATTGATTCTTGGTATAAATTTTATTTGCTTAATGGTAGACATTAGTATACTGCTATGTTTTGGTTGTGTCACTGTAAGTTAAGAATTAAACAGCTGAAACTGAATTTTTTTAACTCATTGTGTTCATAGTTACGACAGTTATTTCTTCTCAGGCCATGAAGAATCTCACTGTTACCTTGAGTCTGGAAAATAAAAGAAAAGTGGTCTGGAAAAAGTCTGGAAAAAGTCTTTAATTCTGTCCACAAGAAAGTGTACAAGCCCTGTATGCCTCGCACGCTTGTGGTCCAACGTGAGCCTGCTTGCAGGCTACATGTCACAGATTGCAGGTCACAGGTCACACTTTGCAGGTTTTTCATACTAGTCGCATTTCATTGTCATGATTGTAATTATTATTTTCCTCATTATTTCTGTCAGGAGAGAAAATCAGATTATTAAGTTTATTTTTCATATTTGCTTTAGCTGTCAAAAAAAAGAAAAAGAAATAGAAATCCAACGTAGATATATTGTTAAAATCTTGGCATTTAGAGTTGAATTATAAATGCCCAAACAATTGCATTTTTTTACCATTCAAATTAATGGCTTTATTTGTGATTTTCTTGAATTTCCATCGGTGAAGTTTTTTTACGATTTTTAAAAGTTATGTCTTTCATAGCCTCCCATGCAGACGATCTTAGGGCTCATCACGTGTTCCTCCCGGAACGCGTGATGAGCCCTAAGAGCGTCTGCGTGGGAGGTCTTTCACTGCTGTGAAAAAAGTGGTCAGATGGATTTTCCTGTCAAAAAAAAAAGAGCTCCAACTAGCTTAAGTAAAGTATCTGTAACAAGTCTGTCAAATTTATGGAATTTAACCGAAGGAAACGCGAGAAAATTCATGGTCAGTTTTGCTATGTTGACGTCATAAAATATCGAAAAACACTGACGCTTTCCTTGGAACCCCCCCCCCCCTCTCATCTCAAAGTCTGAATGAGCTGACGTCCACTTAACTACCTTTTTACAAAACTCCTTTCTTTTGCGGTAAACAAACTGCCTTATCACTTTTTAGGCCATTATACTCCAAAGTGAGAAGGAAAGAAGGACGAAACTTCGTCTTAAATAGGTACGCGATGGAAATGAACCTATTAAGAGCCAAAAATAACCAGAATTGTTCATTTTGCGATAAAAGCATGAAACTTCCCAGGATTACTAACCTCTATAAGGTAAACATTTTCTGATATGGAGCCATCCCAAATTTTCACCCACAAACATGCTATGTGCATGTCAAAAAATGACATCTTNGTTGTGTCACTGTAAGTTAAGAATTAAACAGCTGAAACTGAATTTTTTTAACTCATTGTGTTCATAGTTAAGACAGTTATTTCTTCTCGGGCCATGAAGAATCTCATTGTTACCTTGAGTCTGGAAAATAAAAAAAGTGGTCTGGAAAAAGTCTGGAAAAAGTCTTTAATTCTATCCACAAGAAAGTGTACGAACCCTGGAATATCTTAGCTTATTTTACTTAAGTTATCATAAAAATTTGTATACATGCAATAGTGATGACAATAATATTTGATTTGGGCTTATTTGATTACTTTTTTGTTAATTTTTTACCTGGGGGAAAATGGAGGAAAGTGTAACAATTCTTATCGTGGTAAATAATATTTTATGTTTTGCATGATAACGAGTAATTTCTTGTCTCTTTTTTAAAGAAAATACCTGTGCGACCATTCAACTTTGTACTAATGGGCTCATTAATTTGAACAGCATTCTCAGCGACAATTTTTACTTTATATTGTCTTACACGACAGTCAAATGTGGATGTTGTGAGCAAAAAGTTTTTACTTGCTTGATGAACCTTGATATTGGCCTGACAGGGTAGTTGAATTGAGATTTTGATGATAAGACAATATTGAGAAAGAACTTTATAGTTCTTCTACAAGTTTGAAAGGCTTAAGTGCCTCAGCAAGTATTTTCTTTTTCTGCATTAATAATCTTTAGAAAGGCAAGTGAGCCGGCAAAAAATGTTGTAAGTACAGGCTTATGTTTACCCCACTGACAGTTTAATGTATTTTAAAATTTGATAACAAGGCAAGTTTTATGTTACTGTTTTTGCTACCCTTTAAGAGGATGCCAACGCAAAATGTGAGTTCCCCTTAGCTACCTGAATTTGATTGTACACTATCAAGGCAGACGTCAATGCTTAGTTGGTGATTTTCTTTATACTCTGATCACTGGCTGTCTTGGTAGTGTATTTGGTTGTTAGATTTAAATCACTTCTGAATTTAGGGATGAAAATGTGCACTCAGTATGTCTTGAAGCTTGTAACAACTGCATTTTTCTGGTAACATAACCGAATCATTAAGCTGTTGGATATTTTGGTATCTTTGGGTATTTTTTTGTCTTTCATTGCAAATATTGTAGGAAAACTTCTTCACAGTGGCTGAAATGAAAAAGCTATGAAAGAGAGGGATTGTTAAAGGGTAAAAGAATACATTGCCAGGAGACCATTCATCAATGCCCTAAATTAATGAGAGGTTGAAGAGGGCTAGGTTTTATTGCCCATTTCTTAGTAGCCTGTTAACAGGTTCTCTGGTCGAGGATGGGGTGAAGAGAAAGCAGGAAGGAAGAGGATAGGAGAGAGAGGATGCGCCAGCTCCCACCCCATTCCCTTATCGGCCACTTCACTCTCAGAAAGAAGCCTTCTTGGCCCTTGCAGCCACAGTCAGACCCTTCCAGTCAGAGCCTGGCACCTGTTCACCAGCTACTCTCTTAGTGGCACCCACAGCAGTCGGGAGGGTTGGGGGTACTCAACAGAGTTCTATGCAGGGAGGCACAGCCACGAGATCTAAACCCCTGTTTTATATACCATTTTTGACAACCTTCCATAGAAAATGGAACCCCTCTCGCATAACTACAGTACACTTTTCACCGACCCAAGAGATCTTTTTATGCAAAATAGGTCCACTAAAACAATTTTCCCCAATTAAAAAATCCAAATTGTCAATTTCAAACCCCCAAAAGGCCTTCGTCCTTTTAAACACCAAAGTGGATTTCTTTAACCGTAATGCGTGACAACATTTCTCCCTTCCCCACCCTACAAAAATGGATCTTTGCGTATTCATCAGACAGGGATCTGGGTACTACCATCGAAGCTCCAACATGGCGGCTCGCGGTTGGTTGTTTTTTATGCTCCTTATGTTCTGCTTTTCCCTTGGTCATGGTAAAAAAAAAGTCACGAAAGAGGTACAGAACTACTCTTTCAAATTATTTTTAAAATTACTCTATTAAGAACTGAAATTTTGCTGGAACTGCACATTGTTGTCAATGTCGATTGACCGGGAAAATCGACTTTCATTGTCAAGCTTAGAGTTTGTGCTGCTGAATAGGTACAATGAGCTCTTTTCTTCAATCTGGCTCCCAGTTTCGGGAATTTGTTTTTAGATTCATCAGTGGGCTACTCTGTTAAAATCTACGGCCTTGTTTCTCGGCAAATAATATTCTATTGTGAAACTGTCAAATTTCTGAATGCTTTTCATACTTACCCATTCAATTTCCTTTGTAATTTTCCCTGCCTATTTGAGCTTGGTGTATGTCATTTGCAGACTGCAGACCGCAGAATGTAGACTTTTTAACTTTATATCATATTCTCAAGTATTCCCATTTCCATTACAGAGAGCTAACAGTAAACAGGCTAATCTGAGTGATATTCTGGATTTAAACCAGAACGCTATTTTGGCCAAATGTAGTCTATAGTCTGCAGTCTCCAAATGTCATACACCGATTTGAGCTGCTCTATCTTAAACCTGGAATAATATAATCGTGTATTAGGATCAACTTCAAATTTCTATTTTTTAATAGTTATATGACAATTTCTTTCATTCTTCATTTTTTGTATCCCATGTTTGGGCTTTGGTAGACTATCAACTGTCCAAGTAGACAACATAGCAGGTGAAAGAACCAAGCAAATATCAAGCGTTACAATCCGTCAAATATTTTCACTTGTGCATGATTGGTCTAAACGCGTCACATGACTGAATATGCCCCAGCTAAAACTGGGGAATATCTGAATGATATTCCCCAATTTTCAAAACTGCCTCTGTTGCAAAAATATTTGAAGGATAATAAACACGATAGCCTCCATTTGATGCAAAAATGTGCTCGGACATTTGTCCTTGGACATTATCACAGTTTTCCTTGAGCTACACTCTTGGAAAGCTGTTTGCTTCTCGGAACAGATAGTAAATATCCTAGCATATTTTTTGTGCCAAATGGAGGCTATTGTTTATGTACCTGGCATAGATCATGAAGTAGATGATGATTTCCATTGGTAGCCAGCCTAATTTTACAACCCTGAATCAGCATGCATTCCAGTTTAATTATTGCTTGTGATTTTCTAGTCACTGTTGGATACTCGAGTCAAACAGCTCATGGATTGGAACCAAAGGAAGCCTGTTATAAGATTAAATGGAGATAAATACAGAACCTATTTGAGAGCGTCGCCAAGGAATTATTCAGTCATTCTTATGCTCACAGCTCTTGCACCACACAGACAATGTACCATTTGTAGGTAAGATTCACTGAATCATTGCTAACTAAGGTAAGAATGTAAGCTGGGGGTAAAAAAAATGGAAAATTACCGGTACTCTTATATTAACCAACATCATTATCATCACCTTCATCATTAATCATTGCATACCGTAGAGAAGTATTATCATCTTTTCATTTGTTTCACTGTTGTGTGTTTAAAAAGATATTTTCTTAAACCCTTAATGTCCTAAATGTACCTAACCCATGACTGAAAAAGACAAACTGTTCACAAAATGTTCTTCAAATATTTTGTTGACAGCACACAGGAGTAAACGAGAGCACATGAGATCGAGTGGCTGATTAATTAAGAGTATAGCTGAGTTTGAACTCTTTGACCTGCATTCTTATTTGCGTAATCCTCGATGTAAAACACATCCATCTCTACTCTTTTATTACAGAGAAGCTAACAATGAGTTCACAATCCTTGCCAACTCCTGGAGGTATTCGCAGCAGTACTCCAACAAAGTGTTTTTTGCAGTGGTTGATTTTGACGAGGGTCCAGATGTATTTAGTGCGGTGAGATGATATTTGTGTTACTTAACTGTTTATTTTGTGGAAACACCTATTACTATTAATATTGGTTTTGTCTTAAATTGATTTTTATTCTTGGTTTGGAAGTTTTCAGCCAGCCTGATTTTTGCTATCCTTTGTCTCATCTGCATTATCATAATCTGAAATGATGAAATAGATTTTATTTAGAAAAAATATCACTTATTGGAAAAGGTGTACTGTATAACCAGGAACAAAATTCATTTTTACTGCACTGTATTTGCAAAATCATAAATGAGCACTGATAAAATTGCCATTTAATTGTATCACATAATAGTGAAATCAAAAAATTAATGATATTAATATTATATATAAGGATGAAGTATGCATAAAATTGTACAACCAGAAGAAAATAAAGGAAAGAAAAATAGGGAGGTACCTTTAGTTATTGATTGGGAAATAACCTTTTCCCAGGACTACTGATTAAAGGAAAATATTACATGCAGATAACACTGTTTTGGCAGTTGCTTTGCTCTTGCTTTTCTAAGATAAATTATTTCAAGGATTCACAGAGTATCAAAAATGAGGGATTGTTAATAATAAAACGACTTACATTTTAGATCTTATCTTAGACTCCTGTTTTCTTGTGATTGTTTATTCACAGCTGAGGTTAAATTCTGCACCAATGTTCATGCACTTCCCACCAAAGGGAAAACCTAAGAAGGCAGACACTTATGATATTCAAAGGTATGAGACTTAACTTTTACAAGACTAAGTATTATATTTTTTTGGCAAGCAAGGCCATCCCCATGATCCTCTCTCTAGTGGGTTGGCTGGTTAGTTAAAAAAAGATAGAGAAGAGAAATATTAGCAAATAAAAAAACAAAGGGGGGAGAAACATTTCCAAGAAGCTTCATTTTCAAACGGTAACAGTTACAAAATTTACACAATGTATTTTCTATGATGAGCTGATTGAAATAAGCTTATTATTATAAGCTTGTGCGGTTTTTGTATTAACTTGTTACATGTACGATGTTGCTTGATTTCTTTGTAGAATGGGTTTCTCTGCTGAACAGTTGGCAAGATGGGTTGCAGAACGCACTGATGTTAATGTATGTGGACTGTTTTTATGTAGTAGTCACTTCAGAAGAGATACATTATGGATGTTCTTTATCATAAAGGGGGTACCATCATCAGCTAGACTTTTCAAAGTTATGCTTATGATGGCAACGGCCAAAGGTGTATTTTTACTGATGGAAACCTAACAGTTTTTTTTGGTAAAAGGTACTATACAAGTACACTGAAACTTAAAAGTGGTGTAATAATGAATTACTCATGCACAAGGCTGTACTATCAGATTGAAAATGTCGGGCCATGTTATTGAATTTCATTATCCTATCTAGGAAAAGTCACTAAACTATGTACAATTTGCTTTCCTTTAGCAATGCACAGGCTGGATATTTTCATTGTGATGTGGTACGGGTAGTTTATGTGGGAGTGAAGGAACTTGGTCATATAATTTAAACTCTGCTCTGACCAAAAAAGCATCTGATAGATGTAATCAAAAACAACAACACCTGTATCTAAGTTAATCAAAGTTAATAATGCTTGTTATCTTTTGTGTAGGTCAGGATATTCCGTCCCCCCAATTACATGGGCGCTGTGATAATGGGCTTGCTGGTTGTTTTGATTGGTGGACTGCTCTATGTGCGACGTAAAAACTTGGAATTCCTGTATAACAAGACCTACTGGGCAATTGGAGCCCTGGTATGTATAGACGGATTAAACATTGAAAACCTGTTCTTTGAGTTTTGTATTATTGCAGTTTATTAGCTTCACAAAATCAGATGACAGCGTGCAATTACCATTTATTTTTTTGTTCCTTCAAGTGTGTAGTGTTTGCCATGACATCTGGTCAGATGTGGAACCACATTCGCGGACCACCTTATGCGCACAAAAATCCACAAACAGGACAAGTGGTTAGTCAGATATTATCGTTTTACAGATGTTGAAGATTGGCAACAAAACCAGTTATTCAATTCTGATTAACCAGAAGTTTATAAATTATATTTAATAACTATAATTTACCAGAAATTACAGTCCAGGAAAGTTTTGTACAGTTTTAACTTCATTCTTTCCTACTCAGTCCAGAATAATAAAGGTCACTGTCATCCAATAATAATTTTAATTTTAACCTTCAGTGAGAATGTACATCAGCAGATGTACTGGTTAATGAAATGTAGAGTTCATCACCATCGATACTAATATATGTATCGCTTTTTATCAGAGTTACATTCATGGAAGCAGTCAGGCTCAATTTGTGGCTGAAACCCACATTGTCATTGTTCTCAGTATCCTTTTATTACATACTAAAATTTTTATATTGGCTGACTTAGGCAGTGGAGGAAGGAGGGAAAAATACTGAAGCCACTTTGCCACTTTGCTCTCTTCGAATAACAAAGTAAGATAGAAGAGAAAATGAAAGCTGACTAGTCAATTCTCTCTCATTTATTCAATAAGTGGATATATGAAAAGAATTTGAAATTGAAACAATAGTTGGCAATTAAAATGTAGTTGTAGTCATCATACAAAACTTTATTCAGGAAACTTTCATTACTTTTTGAAAAGAAAAGAAAGGTTTCTTTGTGAAGTTTTAAGGGACATTATATAAAATTTTATGTATCACTCCTTAACTGGAACTCAAAGATGCTCTTTATGTTGCTGGTATGATTCTTCTCAATGAGAAGGCGCTTGAAGTCAAGGAGGTTGGAAAACGTAGAAGTGAGTGTTGATATGCTTCTTCTAGTCTGTCCACAGACCTTCTATTTTGTTTGAGCTCATCAAGATTGCAAATAAAAGTATTAACTGCGTGGTATTTGAAAAAGTATGAACACAAGGGGGTGGCCAAGGGAAAGGCAAAAATAGTCTTTGTGCCAGCTTCGCAGCTGCTCTTGCGCTCTGCACTCACTCTTGTGTGTGAGCGATGCAGTGTACTCAAAGAAAAATAACTTGTAGCAAAATAAATTAATAAATGTCTGTGGACAGACTAATGCTTTTATGCAGGGTATAGCATTCATGTAATCAACCAGTGTTCATCCAAATCTTCCCTAAAAACAAATCAGAGAGAACAGTTAAGAAAGTCATATGTACGAAGTTCTGCTCTCCTAAAAAAAAAATTGTGTGTCCAAAAATGAAAAAGAGAAGAGATGTGTGATAAAATGGTGATGGTGACATGAGTACTCTCATAGCGATCATGCTATTTATGACTGGAAAATAAGAACCAGAACTCATTGAGTACGTCACTGTGACAACAATCTGCAAAGTTGCTTTCTATCTGGGGTTTATCTCACTCTTCTAAACTCATTTAAACAGAGGAAATCATGACCGTGACGGTTTTTGAATATCTGATATTAATTAGCATAAATTTTTATGATTTTATTTCTCTGTTTTCTCCTTAGTTTTAGTTTCGATTGAGAAGATATAATTATCAAACACTCAAGACAGTGTTTGACCACATTTCCAAACACTTTGAAGTTCGTCAAAAATACTTCACTGCGTGTCGTATTTTCGGGTGTGTTCCTTTGGGGTGATCTGGATCAGGATTAGTGATCTAAGATCTGTCTGGATCATGGTGCATCAAAAGAACCAATGAATCCATTCTGGTCATGGATTCATCGGTTTCTTTCACTGATGCACCATGATCCAGACAGATCTTGGATAACTGATCCTGATCCAGATCACCCTAAAGGAATGCAGCCTTCAACTCTCTTCTCAGTGTTTGGAAATGTGGTCACACACAGTCTTTTGTGTTTGACATATATTACAACAAGTTCTTAGGTTTTCACTTCCATTTTGCTCTCTGTTGTCGTGTTTAACATGTATTGGCTGGCTTTGGTCAAAACGACCTTGTGCAGGAATCTCGATTATGCTCAGATCATGATTTGTGTAATAACTGTTTGATCTTGACTCTTTTCATAATAGAACAATACACAATGACAATTACTAGGATATGTCGTAGCCCACTGTGAATGCAGTGTAACGGGGGGACTTCATTTTCTGAATGAGAACGTCAGTTCTTGGATATCTGCATGCACATTGTCACAGAGGCAGCTGTCTAAGTTGTGTTTAATTACCATTTCTCTCCACTTTCAGTTGTAGTTATGGTTGGTTTGGGTCTGGTGGTGCTGTTCTTTAGCTTGCTGTTGTCTGTGTTTCGTTCCAAGTACCATGGATATCCATACAGGTAAAATATAGTTGATTCATTTTCTTCATGCATACACCACTGGGCAAAGATTGCTGAAGAAAAACTGACATGCAATGGAAACAAACAAAACAAAACAAGCAAGGAAGCAAAATAAGAACCTTTATAAACCTTTTCTTTGTGATAGAGAAAGTTACCTTGAATTTTTTTGTAACTTTGAATAGCCATAATTATGTGGGTACAGCTACCCAGGTGAGTGGGTGCTTAACAGCTATTCTCTCAACAACTTTGATTTTAATGCATCTACATTTTGGTGGGGAAAAAATCTACATTTTGGCGGGATAAAATGGTGGGATTTGACAATTGTCTTTATTCTCATCACCTGATCACATAACATTGTATTGATATTGTACTGAGAGATTAGGTGTTGACCATTCATGGCCATCATCTATAAGCCTCTGTAGTTCAAGGTTTAGATAATGCTACCCACAGGATAAATCACTTCCCAGTTGACAGCATGGTTGGTTTTGTTGACACTGAACCAAACGCATATTACCGGTAAGCAAAGCATAATATGCTATCCATTATGCCCAACCTTTGAACAACCTAAGCCTTGAGTTTGGGTTATAAGTCCTCTTCCAACTGCATTGTACTTTTTTCCTGTTTGCCAGTTTTCTCATCAAGTGAAGTCAAGACACCATCTGGCAGGGATTTTACCCAACTAGTGCTTCAGTACAGGATGAATTAATTTTTTTTTGCTCCCTTAAATAACTTAAGTGTAACCACTAACTACACATAGTGCTGTAAACAAGTATAATTATGTAGGCACAATCCTAGGTTCTTTTGAAATTTCTTATTCTAAACAGTTTTGTCTCTAAACTTGTGTTGTGAAATAAAAATAACATTTGGTCTCCACTTGTGATTGTCTCATTTATTAACCCCCTGAATGAATAATTATATGACGTACTCGGTATGTCATGAATTTTGTCCCTGAGGTGCCTGTATGATGTACTGAGTATGTCAAAATTTGAAGAGATCTAGTCAAAACTCCTAGCACAGCGGAAACAACTTTCATTGGCACCTGAGATTTGTAGGTTTTTCAACAGACTTTTAATTTCCCAATTCTGTGATGTCATATGGATATAAAATTACGTCAACTCAGTGAAATTAACTGCATTGAAGAGACACTTACAAAAAAAATGTGCACATGTCCATAGTTTATGTGAAAAAGCTTATGGCATGTGAAGGTTTTACTAGGCACCCATTTTTAGTGAAAATGGTGTGGCACACAGCGTGAACATGGTCAGGCACTCATTCACAAGGTGCTAATATGTATTATCTGTACAACCTCAAGATTTTCCAAAAAAGCAAAATAATATCAAGATATTCATACACTGACCTTGCATATACAGGTGTATTCGAGTGTCCTCTTGATAAATGATCTTTCTAGGCCCAACTACTGGCTGCTGTTGGGGAAAGGAGCCTACACCCCTCCACTGAAGACAAGAATGCTCAGGGGCCAGACCTGAGAGAGCGTATGATTCTTCAGGCAATGGCAGCATTTCTAGTTCTCTGTGATGCAGACCATTCAGAACCTGCTTGCTTCTGTGGCTTGTGGCTTGTCCTCTGTCCTCCAGGAAGGTGATCAGTGCACAAATGTGTGACCACAAAGAGTGGCCGATAACTCTTGTTGATCATTGACTTTTGTGACATGTTTTGTTTTGTGTATGTTTTAATTTTCAAGTGTAAAAACATTTTTTTCTTGTCAATCTGAAGTCATTTGTATTCTTTTTTTCTTTTCTTTTCACCTCTTCTTTTCACTTTTTTCCCTCTGGGATATCATCTTTTTTCAAGAATCCCTTGGATTCACTTTTTTCTTTTATGCATAAGACTTCATAGCTGTACAACTACTCATCATAACATACAATAAAATGAAAACAGTTGATATTATAATAAACTGTTACAGACAGTAAAAATCTAAAGACAGATCGCTTCCTTAACACAATCATGCATGACATTGCAGATATTATTACAGTATGTGGCAGAAAGCTTGGCTCACAAATAATTATTCTGCAAAATATGACAGGGTAAAGATCAATGGTTGTTTTACAATAACTCAAATATTATTATAGTCTTGACTTGTTTCTCTTAGGAGGTGTCCATGACTATCTTTTCCATGATCGTTCATCTTCTTCCTCTTCTTCATCAAAGTCTTCTCCGAGAAGCAATGCCTCTTCTGTCTCTGGGTCAAATTCATGTTTTCCCTAAAACATTACAAAGTGTTTAAATGTTGTTCCCAAACTGAAACACAATGCAACACAAGCCCTTATAGACTTTGAACAGTCTCTTCCTTTTCTCAGTGTGTGTGCAAATACACAAACTAATTAATGTGAGGAAAAAGAAAAACAATTAAGTTGCAAGCCATGAAGCTGCAAGGAACCAGCCTGCTTCATTCCCTTATTTTTTTCCTTAATTTGCATAATCAATGGTTTCATGAAATTTTCGAAAATTTAAGGTGGCTCTGAACCCTACCTACAGAATTTTTTAAACTTTGCCAACAGTTGCGTCTTATCACGCTTATCAAAAGTTGATAATATAAAAAAATTCTCACTGTGCTGTTTTTGAATTATGAGCCCCTAAAGCTGTAATTAAGGGTGTTTTAGGAGATCATACTGTTGCTATGGTAACCTATTGCATCACGAAAATGATAACAATCAATGATGGGCAGTTTCTTGATACCATAATTGTAGCATCAAGTGATAAAAAGTGGTTATAACGACCCGTCAAAATCTAAGTGCTGGCAACTGTCTTGAGCCACCTTAATACAGGTTTCAATGTAATGAAAGTGGATTATGGCACTGACACTTGGGATATAGTTTGTTATTCCAGATCTTTGCCTTGTTTTTTGGTATCAATATTAAGTGGAATTCAACCTGAAAAAGGCAAATCCCCAGCCAGCCACACCCTGACCCTAAGAGACAGCCACGATTACTCACCAATTCATCTACATCCAGTCCAAGCTCCTCCTCAACTTTCTTGAGTACCGTTGGAGTGGTGGGAGTGGTAGGCATGGCTCCAGAAGGAGAGGCTGGAGTCCTGTACCAAGAAATCTTCAGAGCCCTTCCTTTAAATGTTTTGCCTTTATTGTAGGCCTGAGAAAGACAATAAATTGATACAAATATATCTGTTAACTGGCAGCTGCAATGCAACCATTTGATAGAATACTGTATTCAGAGATTTTCAAGGAATAAGGAATATAATCATATAAGGAAAAATTTTTGTTGCTTCCACTCAGCAGATAAAACCACAGGGTGGACATTAAAAACACTTATAAACTAATGGTCAATTTGAAGCTCTTTTACACAAAATAACTGCCACAATTATTCCATGACAGCATAAAATGCGAGTTGAAAAAGGCAGTGAGATGCTCTGCACGCATCATTCATACACCTGGAAACAAAAACAGCTGGGTAAAATCCCTGAACCTACAGTCCCGTTCATATGTACAATGTCTGGTAAAGTAGCTGTTTACAAGTACATACAACAAAAAGAAAGTTGGTTTTAGAAAACTGATCAATCTTACAATTTCTGCTTCTTTTCTTGTCCTAAAAGTCAGGTTAAGGGTGTTCTTTTCCTCAATGTACTCTTCATTGTCAACAATTCCAAATTCCTAAAACACAAAAACAAGAACAATGTAGAAAGTACAATTTAAGTTGGTGAACTACAATGTCCTAAGACTTCCCCTTTGAGGCTGGAAGTGTTAATCCTTGTGTAACACTTAAGCTGATGCCTGGTAGTAGATGTGATATTATCATACAATCATGTCAACACCAGGTTATCTTTATGAGGTTAAGTCTTCATTTGGTTGATAGTAAGCATCACACTGCACACTCCAGGAAATTTGCTCAGAAGAACTCCTATTGGAATGTGAAAATCTTATTTACGTCACTTGCTAGAGGCCGCAAGTGAATTGGATGATGGTATTATTAATTTTTTTTAATGGCTCTGAATGACCCACACTTTAATTGGGGCAAAGCCCATCCTGGGGTGGAGAGAGAGGGTTAAAATGGGGACAGGAAGACAGGAGGGAGTAGACAGGGACAAAACATGCATGGTTTGTGTTAAACCAAATCAATCATTTTGACTGAGACGCCGGTTAAAACTAAAAAAGATGCTCAACTCAACTGGAGGTACCTTTTCCTGATAGAACTGAACACAAAAACCACATTCAGCCCAATCAGGCTAGAATGGTGGATCCAACAATATTTGTTGTGGTCACGATTAGTACTCACTTTAAAATGCTCTGCCATGTCTTCCTTCTGTTCTGGTGTGATGTCACTCACAGTAATCTGTTTTGGTCTGTGATCCAGCGAGGCACTTTCTCTTGTCCAAACCCGTGCCATTCTTGGAAGAGGCCTGCTTCTTAGAGGTGTGCCTCTGCCTCGTCCTCTTACAACACCTCTGCCCCGCCCTTTTGTTGGTGGGTCTAATAACCCCAGAGATTTAGCCTGAAACAAAAAGTTCATTTAACGAAGTGCATTCAAACCACTTGTAGCTGATACCCTCAACCAGAAACTGAGGTGTGTTTTGCCTAATATCATGGGTGACATAGTTATTTCTTAATTTTGACATGAAATTTCAGCATTAATTTATAATTCACAAGTGAAATTACAAAGTTGGCATGGCAATGTTTGGCGCAAAATTTCTTGATACAACAAACAAGTCAAAAACCCACGATTGTAAGAGTGTAATTTATCACCTACGATATTAAAGGTAATCAAATAGTATACTTGTGAAATTGAGAAATAAATTTCGTTTGCGTTTTGTCAAAATTCAAGAATTTCCCTTGCCTAAAGACTTGAGAAATTATTAGAATTTTGACAAAACGCATGTGAAATTACTTCTTAATTTCACTTGTCACCATTTAAGATAAGTTAATCTTATCCACTGTTTTCTTATTCTTTACTTCCTGACAAATGGTTGGTTGGTTGTTGGGGGTGGTGGCGTATGGATATATTCTGGAACTGCGCATTGAAAAATTACTCCCTCTCTTCTGTGATACACGTAACCATTTTTAACTGAAATAAAAAAGAAAAATTAATAATGAATTTCAAAAACTGAGTTACCTCTTGTTTGAGTTCTTCAACTTTTTTCTTCAGTTCCGTAGTGTCTTCCCCAGTGTTTTGATGTGTAATCAAATCCAGTTCTTGATCGAGTATTGCTTTCTGGGCCTGAAATTAATAAAGTTGTCAGCATTACTCAAACGGAATTCTAGTTTGTTATTCAATATTTATCATTACTTATTAATTCAAATTTCTTGGATTTACATGTATGTCTGATGGTTGTTGTTTTTCATTTGTGTAAATAATCTGTAGAGATTCTGGTGGATCATGAAAAGACATCTAGCACATGATATCAGCATTTGACTACGTAACATCTGCACAATCCTCCATAGGAAAAAAGATGGCAACTGATACATTTACCCATAATTCTTAGCACACAAAAACTTTAACAACGCTCATAAAAATGTACAGAAAAGATCTAAAATCTTCAAACCTAGAATACACAATGTTTTCAGCACAGGGACAAACATAGCAAAAATATGGCTGTCCTTGTATTTTATGGCTGTGTAAGGTTCACATGGTACATTTGTGATAAAACGCACATGCAACCGCCATGTTATTTTCCAATCCTATGGAGATACGTACATTTATCAAAGTGATACAATTCCAGTTTTCCCACCATGTGAAGACCAAGAATGTCACTTCACACCAAAGACTTTCCTGTCCAAACCTCTTTACAGTATGTACAAAATTAATGTAATATTACTGATCTGGAATGTCTGTACTCACAATCTGTCTAGCCTGAGAAGGGCTTTCCTTGGATTTTGCTGCCATTGCTGCCAACTCAACCTCTTTCTTTAGTGCCTCAATATTTGAACTTAACGATTTTATAGTCTGCAATTTTATTGGAAAAACAGTTTGTTAATTTTTCACATTAAGGCTTACAACTAAATTTAGGTCACAAAGATGTCAAGAAAATGTAACAACGGGAAGAAGCAGTGCACGATGTATTACCTTTACTATCAACTCTTTCTCTGCAGTACCTAAATTCTTCTTTTCAAGTTTAGAAATTAAAAGCTGGCAAGAGAAACAAACACACTTTATTACTGCATATAATAAACAAAATTAATATATTAAATAAACTAAATTATTAAAAAAATAGTGAGGAGACTGAAAAGAAACTACAAGGCTTATATATGTGAGAGGTGAGGGATGAGGGGTGAGGGGTGAGGGGTGAGGGGTGAGGNAGGGATGCAAGGTGAGAGTGAGAGGTAAAGGATAAGGGGTGAAGAGTGAGGGTTACAAGGCTAGAGGCAAGGGGTATAGGGCAGGGGTAAGGGGTCATGCAGATGTTGGATAAGGGGTGGAGGCACAGGATAAGGAGTGAGAAGTAAGGGACGAGGATTAAGGATTAAGTGGCAAAGGGTGTGGGATATGCCATGAGGGATAGTGGACAGAGGGTGACTGGTAAGAGAAAGTACAGTATAGTAACAGGTCTGCTGAGTTTCATTTACAATAGTGTGGTCGTCAGTTAAAAGTTGCAGCCCTCTACAGATGTTATGTGCCTATGATGGTATGTTTCTGGATACCTTTTGTTCTTGAATTTGTTTGTTGAGTAGTTCTTGTTTCTGTTTCTGAATCTCAAGCTTCTTTCTCATTGCTTCCTGTAAATAAAAGAACATACCAAACACTGAATAACAAAGCATTGTTAACCACTTTGCATGACAAATGATTCTGAAGTAAGTATATATTGTTAAGACATGCACCAGATGATAAATTGGCAAGAAAGGTGACGGGGATCACTTCTAGCAGGGTGGTGAAACTATCACCTGGTGTCTTAAAAGAAGCTATGTCTTGGTTTGGACATCTTGAAAAGTTAAGCCTAAATTTTCATGTTCTTTGATTGTAATCCCCATTAAGTATAGTTAAATGAAATTTAACATAGTTAACGACTAGGACCTAGTCTGGTCAGTAGCGTTTTTATACGCACTTGTTAGTGTCTTGCCCATCTGTGAGCGTTTGGTTAGCGTTTGGTGCATTCTGTAGCGTTTGATATAGTTCAATGAAATTTTACATAGTTTATGACCAGGAGCTAGCCTGGTCAGTAGCGTTTTTTTTGTAGGCGTTTGATAGTGCCTTGGCCATCCGTTAGCGTTGTTTAGCGTTTGGTGTGTTCTGTAGCGTTTGCAGCAGTCATATGGTCGTGAGAGCCCTGGGGCTGACATTGTCCAGCAGTATTTTTGGTTAGTACATGTGTTGTCGTCCCATGTGCTCGCAGTGTGTTCATCGCTCTGTTAGTGTGGCGTTGTGGATTGAATTATAGTTTACCGGTTCTCAGCGTTCCCTCCCTATCCCCCCCTCTTTTTAGCATTTTTTTTCTTTTTTCCACAAATGCCATCTGGCTTGAGTGTGATGGGTGCCTGTAGGGGGCTTGGCGCGGGCGCTCGTGGCTTGGTTGCAGGTTGGGCAGGCCAGTCAGGTGTTCTAGCGCCTTGGGGATGTGACTGCGGTTGCAGCCCCTGGGCTTCGTAGGCACCTTCCCTCCACTAGCGACTTGGGCGTTAATCACCCTTGATCCTTTATTCTCAAACTCATTAATAATTCATCAAGTTTAGACAAAGGAAGTCATGACTGTGACAGTGTTTGGATTAGCATAGATTTTTATGATTTTATTTCTCTGTTTTCTCCTTAGTTTTAGTTTCGATTGGGAAGATATATCAAACACTCAAGACAGTGTTTGACCACATTTCTAAACACCTTGAAGTTTGTCAAAAATACTCCGCTGCACGTCGTCTTTTCAACTCTCTTCTCAGTGTTTGGAAATGTGGTCAAACACGGTCTTTTTGTGTTTGATATATTACTTGACTAGTATTATCTCTTTGGTGTTTGCCTATATTAGTAAGCTATTATTTTCAAGTTATCTTCAATTTAAAGGTAATTTTGTACCTGACCAAAATAAACCAAAACACCATGACTGAACTCCTTTAATGGCCTTAGCTCCCAAGGGTCTCCTGTAGCTCAGTGGTAGAGCATCTGAACTAGTAACCAGAAAGTCTTTGGTTTGTTTGCTGTGAAATGTTCATATATCAACTAACCTGTTTGTGAAGTTCTTGTTGTCTCTTAGTCAGTGCTGGGTTTGTTGGTATGTGAATAGCAGGAGCTTTTGCAGTTTTTGAGAAAGTTGTTTTTCCACTTTGGAACATGGTTGGTTTGGCCTTTGGTTCAGCAGGCTATCAATGAAAAGATAATTAGAAATGCAATTATCAAAAATCTTAAAATGTATTGCATTCAGTGATAGCACTGATTTAGCTGACAGAAGTTGTAGTTGGTCATATTTTCAAGATGGCTTTCTCTGGAAGGTTTCTGGTTATAACTCTCTGCCCTGTAATATTACCTTTGAATGCAGAATCAAAGTTTATTTTTTCAACATCCCCAGATCACTGATCAGTGTTTCAAGGATGTCACATGAATGCATACTTTACTATAAAGTTGTATCAGTTCAAAATGCTTGATTTATTAACCAATTAGCAGCAGTCACGCAGATTTATAGATTAAAAATTTTGAAGCTGGCCCAAATTTTGCTTGATAGAAATAAATAATTATTAAAAACAAAATCTTTTTTTGCTCAGCCAAGTCATACCTTGTTGGAATTCTCTTGTGTTGGTTCACCAGGTGTGTGTGATCCTGAGTTACTGCCTGCTGTTGTACCTTGATTTGAATTCCCATCCTGAAATACACAATTTACAGTAGATTCAAAAGTTTATTTTAGCCAGAGATATCATCACTCTTGCACATCTCATTTGCTCCTCTCTCTCACCTTTGAATGCTTGCCACGTGGGCTAGACAATCTTCTTTTAAGCTTTGCATTTACACCTAATTAATGAGGAGCTTTCTAGTTATGTTGTGAACCCGTGGTTGGGAAGACCCATGATCTTGCAGGGATAAGGGGAACTGGGTGTGGTTGACCGGTAACTAGAACACAGCCCAACACATGGTGAAACACCAGGTGAGGAAGCACGAATACTAACCTTGCATTGGTGCTTGAGAAACAAGGAAAAAAAGGATCCAGCAAAACAAGAACCAGTTGACCAGATATACAACCTTGTGCTAAACTGTGCAAGGGCTAGATCCCAATATTGATCATACTTAAGATATTGGCGAAGTATATTCAGTCAGAATGTTCAGACTTTGATGTGTACAGCCCTCATGTAGGACCTTTTTTCTTAAGGTCTTCTAAGGAACTAGCGTGTAGGGCCATACAGGTCATACAATAATGCCTGCTTAATAAATTTAATTACATGCAACCATGATTATAAATAAATCTTTTATAACATACTTTATTGTTTTGATGCCTGTCGGGATTGTGCCAAAACACCCTAATGAACCGGTTACCAAGCACAGCATCAGGACATGAGTGCGCCGCCTTAGCTTCTTGGTGATGTGAAAACTGAACCAGTGCTGCTTCAGGATCTCCAAAAGCACACACCTGTCACAACACAGAATAAGGCTGTAAGCAAGTAATTTCATTTGACTGGATGTAAAAACATTGACCGCTTAAAACCATCAAACTACAGTATGGAACTTTCATATACAAGTGAGCTTTCCTGTAGGTGAAGCCAAGTCAATTATTCCACATAGAAAATAAGAATAGTCTATAATTGTAATTCCTTTACTAAAAACGTTCCTTGTTTTACATGTACATGTACAGATACAAGAATAATAAAATATTATATTTGATAGTTTTGTAAGTTATTCAACATACATGTACATGAAATGAAAATGGATTTTGTGCTTTTAATTATAGTGCAGCCTAAATTTTTTTTATCTCTTTAGCAACACAGAAATTGGTTTGACAAAATTTAACTGGGAGGTTTGAGGAGTCAAAAGTCAATTTCTCTAAACTTGTTTTGCACTGGGAGTAAACTATTACCTAGCATAATCAACATGTTCAGAAAATTGCAATACCATGGTGGTAAATCCTGAATCGTGACTGCAAATGCAGGAATTTCTTGTTGCAAATTAAGGTTGTTAACACTGACTCTGAATCAAACAACAGTAACACAACCACACAATAAAGGTGTTAAGAGTACCTGAATGTTTGTGATGGTACCAAATCTCTGAAAATGCTCATTTAATTTTGCAATATTGTTCATGTCACGCGGAATCTTTTTCAACTCTAGTGTATCACTGAGTTTCCTTGGAAATCCTAATCGACTCTTGACTGGAGCAGTCTGATCTGTAGGGCCAGGAGCCGGTGTTACACCCTGCTGGGGTAAAGCTGAGGGTGGCGGTGGAGGTGGCGGTTGTTTTTGAGGTGGAACAGGAGCACTTTTCTGCGGATCTGAGTGGATGACTATTCTGTCTGGTATGGGTGGCATTCTGGGTCCTGGAGCAGCCATACCAGGAACTGAAAAAGTTAAAAAGATTAAGAACTCATGACAACATTCCCATGTCTATGGAAATTAATGTCGTTGTTCCTAGCGAAAGTAAGTTAACCGTGGCGACTTGCGATTGAACCAGAGCTATTACTCAAATACAAACAACTCGTGATGGCGTTAATGGGGGAACACTGCCTTGCGTTTG